AGCGAACTGTGAGGAAGTGACCAAGTTTAGTGGTAAGCTAAATGTGAAATCAGCGTCATCAAGTTCTGACTCCAAAAGTTTTCAAGGTATTACTAGTCAGAGTAAAGGTATAAAACCTCTAAGGATTTATGAAGAAGAACACAAATCATCTACTGCTGTTAATAAAGAGTTTGAAAATTATGAAGTCGATCATACGAACGGCGGTAAAGTGGATATTTGTGACAATGATCGTGATAGAGCACATTTGTCTTTGGCTGATCATGATGAGGTGAGCCGAATGCCTACTTCTACTGAGTTGAACAAAGGTTCTGTACAACTTGAACATGAAGTAGAGTTAAAGACAGATGCGGTGGCAGAAGGTGAGGATACCTGTGAGGTAGTCAGTGTAAATGATCAGTATGTGGCCCACCTATCGACAGATGTTAAAGCTGAACTGGAGCTAATACTAAAAGATAGCGGTGGTATTGATCTTGTGGTTAGACAACCTTCTGACAGCTTCTGATGCACCACTAAATTAATCGACTGGTATCAGTCAGTCGCCGTTGGTGTCGTCATCCACATTGAAGGTGACGTCTAATACGTCATGTGTCTTGAGCTGTGATTATGCTATCGGTACGTTTGAAAGGATGAAATTCAATGGTCAGTTTAGTGAGGATAAGCCAACTGTGTATGAGAGGGTAATTGTTAAACTGACTTGCACGAATAAAGGCATTTCAAGTTTTAAGTTACTATTTGAATGTTATTTTCGTTGGTGTAAATCGCTCTGTGCCTACGCTTGGTTGGTCAGATACGTCATCTACATTCCACGACAAAATGTCATGGGCATGTCATTGTTCAGAGTTGAGGATATAGATGATGGAAAGAGGTCACCAGATGGATTGGACGACGATTTTCCAACTTAGGGCGTCAACCTGAGAAGGATTGTAGGCGTACTGCTGTAAGTCCACCAATTCTTCAAGGGTAGTACGTCGAGGTTCAGTCCATCGTATTTTGCGTGTTATTTTGTACATATGTTCATATTGCATACACTGAATTGGTATCATCCCACATCTATCTGTTGATTAATTTTGTTTCTGTCCGGACGTCTTTCCACTTGGATCGTCAACCTGAGAAGGGTTGCAGGCGTACTGGTGTATGTCGGGCGATTCTTCTAAGAGACTGTATCAAGACATGATCTGCGAGGTTATATGTACTGTTTGTATATATGTGTGGTATGTCACATCAATTGATGTTTTCGGATTCACTGTGTTTACTTGTTGTTTTCGTACCTTGTTGTTATTTCATAATTTTGTTGAGATTTTCGTCGTACTTGCTTCTGAAGTTGTTTCAAGTCTTCTACATCCGTGAATGAATTGATTGATGTTAAAGACAGCAGATGGGTCGTATACGCCGGGGAGGCTAGGCTAGTGCTGAGAATGATATGCACACGGCGATAATGATTGGCTGTGATCCCACACGCCGGGGAGAGCGAGTGTAGTTGACCGTGGTCTGCATGCGTCACCCTTACTAGAGTGACTAGCGATTGCAGTGGTAATTGTTATTGAATAGATAAGAGGATGTGCGACGAGTATCATGAGGTGCTGCTATTGCTACGTTGCTTTTTGAAAGAGTCATTCTAGCAAGTGGCGATTGTGTTGCAAGATTCCAAGAGGATGCCTTTAACCAGAAGGCGTAAGTCGTCGTCGATGTATGAGATTGTGTTGTGGGTATGCCTGTGGTGTGCTGGCCTTTCCGTTTGCTTTCCATTTCAGCTTTGTCCGTGTGACCCAGGTTCTCGCAATGGCATCCAAGCCTATGTGTATTGGTCGTGATGGAAAAAAAGAATGGATCCCATTTTGCCAGGGAGTGTCAGTGCAGTTGAGGATTGAATGATCAATTCATGGTTGCTTGCTCAAACCCAACTCTATATTCTTCGCGGAAATCATCAATACTGCAGTCATCGTCCCATCGTTCGCTGTTCGTTGGAAGACAGAGAAAAACTATCAGAAGTATTATCGTAATTTATTGTTATGACATTTATTCTCAGACTATGTGTACAATAACCTAATGGTTGGCTCTGTATTGGTGCAAGAATAAAGGGTTCTTGAGTTACTAATTTATGTTCTGGTTTTATTTTGCGTTCCTGAAAGTCTTCCAAGGACAGTGTGACGTCCAGTGTAGTTAGATCTGGACACTTACAGCAGCCTTCTATTTATCAGATGACTTTCCTCCCAAAACTTCCATAATGATGACGAGAGCATAAATGCAGCAGACCCTTCGTCCATTTTCAGTGTTTCAGTTGTAATTCCGTCTGGTCCTGCCGCTTTCCAGGTTGTGTTGTAATGGCTCAACTACACTCAGGACTTCTGCTTTTTTGGAGGATTGGTGTCCACTAGCAGTTCTGTGTGCGCTGTAGATGGTATTTCCGAATGCGTCGTATGTGACGTTCTATCCAAGAATTTTGTTGTTCACTTGATATAATATTCTGAGGTCTGTTTCGCCCGGGGGATGTCCTGATTCCGTATCTTCTATGTTGTGGAATTATCTTTTTTCTTTCCCAGAACTCTTCTCCAATTCTCTATTCAGTGCAATGTACGTTGTACTCAGCTTCTGTTGTCCATCTTTGCGTTGGGTCATCTTCTGCTTCACCGCTCTACTGTTCTTTGCCAGCTTCCAGGTGACCGTTGATGGCCATTTTTTGTCTCCCATCGTCCATCCTCGAACGGTTTTACGCATTTCTCTGAACATCACTTTCGAAGTTCCTGTAGCATTCCACACAAGCCTCCTCATTGATACCACGTAGTGTCTCAAACTTTGCTCAGATATTTGAAGTGAAAGTATCCCTAAGAGTTTGTTCCTTCAGTTTATGAGTGTTGGAATTGAATTATGGCCTGCCTCCATTTGTTTTGGTGGTCTTTCAGCTTGACTTTGAAGTTAGCTTCCACCAGACAACAGTGTTTCCCCACCTGCTCCTCTTCTTAAACCTTATGTTTAGCAGACTGCAACTCCACCTTTATGAGACTGAGATGAATTCCATCTGGTTTTTGGTGTGTCCATCAGGTGAAACATATGTCTCTTTGCGTATATCCTTGTGGGTTCCTGGGGTTTGAAAGTTGTCACTGAGACACTTCACTTGCTTCAACAGAAAAGATCTAGTAGGTTGCAGCCCTTCAAAGTCAAAAGTCTGGCTCTGGAATGAATGTTTTGTGGCTCTTTCCATCCTCGAGGTCTTAGGTACTGATGTGATGGAAATTAACAGCAACTTATCTGACGTGTTGTCCAAGGCATCTCATTGGTAATGAGGCCACTGTAGCAAGTGAAGTATGTTTTCACGACTACGGAATTTGTAAGGTTGAGCTGAGTAACCTAGTGAAAACCATGTCATATATGTGAATGTAAGGCTTCCTTTATCTGTTTCTCTAGCGCAAGATTTCAAACCTTCTCTGGCACCAACGTGCAGGCCACACTAGCAAGAATGAAGTTTAACTGCCTTGTTTCTATGTAAAGATTCGACAAAAGGAATAGGTTGTCTGGAAGACACGTTTCTAGGCACCAACGAATGGTGGCCGGTGCCTCCTAAACGAATATGTCTTCATGCGAAATATATACAAAACCAAACAAATTAGGAGTTCTGAGCTCATCTCTTCTAAAATGAACACTGTATAGATTCACACTTCCTAATATAAAGAATCGTTTATCAGTATTCTCACTGGCCTATTCACATTATCTACTAGATAAACACGAAACCGCAATTTATCTCATTAACAAGTTCCTTTCGGAAGTATGTATCTTTGTTAACAGGGTCTACTAGTATTCCTGGATGTGCAGTTACTAATTGATCTATATCAAAAGACGTTATTCTCAAAATTATAGAGTCCAGCTCTCACTACGCTAGATCTCACGCTGTCCCTGGAAGACTTTCAGAAACAATTTGTAATAACCAACGCGATAAACCAGAACACAGATTGGTGACTCGAGAATCCCTTGTTCTTACGCCAATAAGTAACCAACAATAAGGTTATTACACACAAGGTCTAAGAATAAATGTCTTAACAATAAATTACGATAATACTTCTGATAGTTTTTCTCTGTCTTCCAACGAACAGCGAACGATGGGACGATGACTGCAGTATTGATGATTTCCGCGAAGAATATAGAGTTGGGTTTGAGCAAACAACCATGAATTGATCGTTTAACCTTCAACTTCATTGACAACACCTTTTCATAACAGATAAGGATGATTCGCTGTTTGCCCTCTGTGTCTTGCTGGGATCACAATGAAGTTTTACATGTAGTTTCAATCAAATTGTCTTCTAGTAATTTGGTATGCTTAAATCACGTGTGTCAAACAAGTATTCACAGTTCGAATGAAGTTCATGAAATTTCGAATGAGTTCTATTCCTCAGTTCATAAAATATATGAAACAGTGAAACTATTGTTTGCTGGATGACGTTTCCAGAACAATTTACCGGTTGCGATCAAATCAGTTATAACTAAACTACTTTGAAACTTTTTTCTATAGTTTTCTTCGTTCCTTTCTGTTCGTCATGGCATGACATGACATCACTAAATGAGTCTCCTGTTTCCTCTTTTTCAGAAAAGAACGCTGGCCTGGCCGTGCTGGAACAGGTGGAGGACCGTTTGTCTAACCTTGTTATAAATGACAATGATTAGCTTGTACCCGGGCAATTCGAGCCCTGCGTGCTGGAAATATAGACCTTCCTCTCGCATCTTCCTCTTCTTCCTTCGCTGATTGTGTCTGTTGCTTCTGGGTGTTACAATTACAGTGAAACTATTGTTTGCTGGATGACGTTTCCAGAACAATTTACCGGTTGCGATCAAATCAGTTATAACTAAACTATTTTGAAACTTTTTTCTATAGTTTTCTTCGTTCCTTTCTGTTCGTCATGGGAGAGTAGAATAGAAAAAAGTAGAAGTATAGGTGTAACTGAAATGATTCAACACCTGTCCCAGACTTATGGAAAATTCTATTATCCTTACGACTAACAGTAGAGCATAAAGCTAACTATAAAACGAAAGTTTCGAAGTTGTGAAGTTGTCATTGTCATCACGGCTAGTAATAAATTGTGCCTAAATGTCATCCAGTAAATAATACTGCTTCAATGTGTGACATATCTGACAAACAAACTGCTAAACAGGCCACAGTGTCCGTGCCTAGCACCTGCATTCCTTTTCTCAGATGTTACTAATCACCCAATCAATTGTATAGTCTGGAATCATGAATTTATCCAAGTTACATGTTAATATAGATATTAGGTGGAAACTTATAGCATATGTGATTTTTCGCTCTAAGCAGTCTGCCTACAACTATAAAGGACTGATGATTCGGCCAGATGGCTTTGTGTCAGCCGGTCAATTCGTTAAACTTTCACTATGAATTTGTGTTGGGGAACTGGTCTGATGTGTCAGATTACAACTCCTGTTATAAAGTAAAACATTTATGTGGCTAAAATGTCTCCAAGTTTCTCAGAGATGCTGTTATATAATGAATCAAGCCAGTCATCATAGTCTGTTTCATGGTATAACGTTGACAATCTGGTCGTCTGGGCTTAAATTATCTGGCTGCAGTATTTAGACTTTATAGATGCAGGTCTTTCTTTCAAAAAAGCTTAAAATTACTTATTAAATATTAAACTGACGTTTTTATTCCAATGGCAGGTAATTGGATGCATACTATCTCCCGCCAATTGTGAACTGTAACGGTACATCTACTCACTAGTGTTAACGTGGGTATAATGTCTGCGGATGGTACATGTGGGCCAGCACCCGAAGTGTACTTTTTCAGTACCTATCGGCATGTGTTCGAACTTACTGTGCTTGTATTGATGTCCACATTTGGCTTAAAATGTGTGATAAGACTGTTCAGAAGATATAAAGGAGAGTTTCTTCGAGCTGGATTCTCTGGTATTGATATGAACAAGCCCACTAAACCAACACTGTAATTTTTTGTTTCTTTAAAATTCCTTATTTTCTAAGTCCCGAGGCTCAGGGGGTAATATGTGGTGTCGTTTTCCTCTCCATTATGTTCATCTTTATACCTGTTCCGTTTTGGAAATACCTTTTCGGTAAAGGTGATAGTCAGCAAATTGAAGTAAAGCCTTCTAATCTATCATATATTCTTTAGTCATGTCCTTTTAACAGAACCGGGGAACAGCAGGAGATTATGTTCAAAAGTCAGGTAAATAATTATTTAAATCGTTGTCTCATATCTGCAGTTCATTCAATTTCTTGCTGGTCTGCTGTCAGTATGCTGTATGATATTCTTGGGCTTCGCTGATGATGCTCTCAATCTCCCATGGCGTCACAAAATTGTTTTTCCGTCTGTTGCAAGTTTACCATTGTTAATGGTATATTTGGCGAATGAGGGAACAACTCGGATTGTCGTACCAGTCATGTTTAGAAGTATCTTTGGCACTAGCATCGATATCGGTGAGTTAATATCAATGCATCACCACTAGCAAATATTTATGTGTAATTTCATGTTACTCTCGGGTTTCGCATATTTACTTTATACCTGTTAACCGCACTCACAATAACTATAGTAGTTTGTAGTCCAGATTTGATGGTTTTCATCCGAACAACAGAGCAGTTTCAGTTGCTCTGACAGCAGAAATAACTTAGCTTAGCAATACAAGGTAATCCTGGTTTATTTTCGTGAATCACTGAATCTTTCGAATTATTTGAGATTACTAGTGACTTGACAATCACTGCCATTCATCTTTCACTGTTACCTTTGAAACTGCCTTTAGATGACCAGTGCAAGACTACAGAACCGACACAAATATTTTACCCAGTGATTGCCTGAAACTGCCACTTATATGTCTCATGATGACTACGTTTATCGACCTGATAATTAATGTTTCTTATCCATCTATAATACTCAAAGTTATGTTTAGAAAATATAATTCTACGAGTCTGTTCCAGCCCATCTGTAGCCCAGGTAGCAGAATATGGCTTAATCTGCCAACGTTAATAAATTTAGCCTTGTTCCTTAGTCTCACTAAAATCCTGTTGCTTATATAGTTATCACTGTCCGTAATGATTTCATCATTTTATTCGTACTCGGATGTTGATGCTCGTTGGTATATATATTGCAGTTGTAAACATGGTAATTCATCCAAAATGAATCTTCCTTCTTAACTGGTAGACAGTATACCGTGAAAAAATATGTTTACAAAGTTGTACTACATAGCTTCACACAGTCTAAACTTCAGTGCAATTCCGAAGCGTTGTGGTGTTTTGTATTGTAAATACTAACACGTTTACCATACCTTTAGTTAATATGGCTTTAGATCTCGTTTGTCTTAGTGTATATATTGTAGTATGAAAAGATTTTTATGGACGAAAGTGATTGACTGATGGGAGAAAATCCCCCTAAAATAATCAGATAACCAAGCCAAACATCTCAGTTCTCCCGTAATTCTTATTTCATCAGTAAGGACTTACAATCGTTTTGATTTTGAACCTCACCTTTCTCTTTATTTATTTTCATTTATTTATCTCCTTTAGAGGAACATAAGGTTTCAGCCGTACGTCTCCATTACATTCGGTTCTCTGCCAGCATTTTCACCTGGCTCCATGTGTGTGCCCACATGCTTTTATCTCCTCCTCACATGACATCCGCCCTCTCACCCTCTCACTGACAACCGACTCGCCGCTTCCTATTCGAGTTCCACTTGAGAGCGATGGCCTGGCATGTGATGTCACATGATGGTTTTCTCAAAGTATGGCCAATCCACCTCCATTGTTATTGTTCATTATTTTTTGTGTAAGGGAACTGAGGCTGATGAATTGCGGTTTTTAGTTGAACTGAGTGTTCATTCATATCGTGATGCACTATAAAAACAAGTCGTTTCGAGGTGTAATACGACTACACTTTGCTATTTGTTCACAAAACACTAGAATGTAGATTTCTACTCCCCAAGAATGCTCAAATAATATCCTCGTTAAGAGAATTGCTTGTTATAAGAATCTGAAAGTAAATTCACTCACTGAACATTAGGTCAATTCATTCGAATTAGTTTTTGGAATCTAACTTACTGCGTTATATTCTTCATTTTTACTTGGCTATTTCAGGTATTCTGTATTATGTGTATATGGGTTTATTGGCCGTGTTTTGTACTAATTCCATCAATATCTACGCTGGAATTAATGGTCTTGAAGTTGGTCAAGCAATAGTGATTGCCTCTTCTTTGATTTTGTTCAACTTAATTGAGATTACAAGTAAGTCGTTAAATATGCTTTCTTTTTAATAGTTTTATTTTCAGCCTTTGGGTTGCAACATTCATTTTGATTAGTTTCTTTTTTGTGATGGTTCGCTGTGGTCTATGTTGAGAATAGTTATGAAGTCCTAATAGCTACCAAGTTTACACATCATTCTAAGTTTTTACATTTCAGAAAAAAGTACACTGAGAATAATAAGAAAAGTATGTATGTCGTCAAACGTGTGTAGAATCCGGTCATTTTATGTGTACTCACCCAGTTCATATCTTCGCATCTCTTTGACTACCTGGGCAGCCTTCCCAGTCTCGTACATTGTACAGACATTCCACATACCCATTCTTACTCTTGCTTTCGTTGAGATAAGACACATTGGCTGACTGGCTTCCCGAAGGCCGGCTTTCACCAGCTCGCTGTTTCATTTCGCCTCTCTGATTCGAGAGAAGAATAAGATTTCTATGTGATTTTTTTGTATTTTTAATATATGTTCTGTGTGTTGAAGTTTCTCTAGCGGTTTGAAAGATCTAGTGGTGTGGAGGTGGATCGGGTCGCCGAATGACATCGCACGCCAGGCCATTGCTCGAGTGGAATCCAAATGGGAAATGACGACTGGGTCGTCCTAGGATGAAATGCAGGGGATCGTGTGAGGAAGAGATGAGATAGTTTGGTCAATCGGTGACCCAACTGAAGAGAACCGCAGAAAACAGAACAAAGTGGAGATGTTTTGTTGAAGCCCTATATCCTGCTCGGAACGCAAGGGAATAATAACAATAAAATAAATGATACCCAGTACTTCCTCTCTTCGGAAGCAGCAAGTGGGTTGATTTTGTATGATTTCATAAAGCAACTAATATTTACATGTGGTAGCCCACACAATTTCGAATAATATTAATAGGACAGTGCATGTGAACTTTCTTTATGCAGAAATGCGGATGCCGATTTGTCTGTCAAAATTAAAAGTCACCAATGTGTAACGAATGTAAAATTTAGTACATGTATGCGAATAATTATGAAGCGCACATTAGTTTTACTCTTCTAGTTGATATCCCCTCGATCGAATTCTATTTTTGAGTGCTAGCAGACTATTTTACATGATCACTATTTCAACTGAATGAATTATTGTAGACATTCTTATATGAATACGATTGCTCTACGTTCCCACTGTTCTCTTAGTAACAAGAGTTTTGCTTTCAAATAGGCATGCAGGATAAGGAAAGCCTTTGTAAGTAAACATGGATATAAACCTGCATCAGTTTATTGCTTTAACTGTAATTAATAATGCTATTGGCATATCAAATTCTTCATATATTTTAGGTCAACATTGGCGTGTTCATCTGTTTTCCTTGTATTTCCTGATCCCATTTTGGGCTGTATGCTGGGCATTGTATTGTATTAACCGGTGAGTTTTGTAGTGTTGAAAGACTTTACGGGGTATGTGTTTTTAGTTGTCTTTATGCATTTTCTTTTCCGGTTTAATTCATACGTCAGTTCTGGAAATACAATAATAGAAAGGATTGAAGTTATTTGATAACTTCCTAACTTGCACAATGTTAGGGAATTTCTAGTGTAAGAACTTTTTTCTTGTGTGAATAACTTTCTGATAGATTGACGTACAGGTTGTAATATGTAAAGTTGTTTAGTATAGTAAATAGTAATCCAGTAGTTTCAGTGGGTAAATCAACTTTTACTAAACTTAGTTAGAAAAATCATCCTATTTTCAAATAATCAACAGTAATAGTACATGTTTACTAAGGCGAGTAGAGTGAATATAAACGTAATTTTTACAGAATCAACTACCCAAGTAGCTGATCTGTCGTGTAGGCACTTGCTTGTGTTATTGAAGAGGTCACACAGCTCCTGATAAGTTACAATTTGACATCTTAATCGAAGTAAGACACTCAAAAGATGTTACGAGACGTGACTGATCAGTGACTCGAAATCAGTCAGTTAGTTATATTGATCAGTAAGAAAAAGACCTACTTGTTACTTCTGCCTGAAACCATGCTTGTGTTCCTCTAGTGTTACTTGTATGGGTTTTATAAGGAGGAGGTGACATGCACATAAAAGTTTCATTGTCCATTTAGACACTTCAACAATTGTAGAGATGTATACCGTCAACCATAAGTACGAAATTCACTCTATGCTACTTCAGTTAAAGAGATTGTTGTATCTTACACTAAGTAGGCATATATATATATACATATATATATTTGTCTGGTTTCAACACATAACTTTGAACCGATGTGCAGCAGTTTAAGTCGCCACACTTCACTCAGCACACAAAGCCAGAGAAGAAAGTAAAAAGAAACGCAAAGTAGAGACAGTAAACAGAACTATAAGGCAAAAAGAATAGTAATATCGAAGAACAATATAGTTTTATTGGAAATTATAAGTCACAAGGAGTAGATGGATCTGCGCCAGCCATTGGTGTTTACCGTCCCGACGACCCCAAACAGGAAGTGTACATCTTCCTACGTGGCTTAAACTAACTGTTGTGAATTTCATTGACTGATGAGGACATGTTTTGGTTTGACTACCACTGGCTCTTTTCCAACCTGATCCTATGTCAGTTAGATAACATTGCCCATTGTCGAGGAAGGCGATAGCTCGGCATGTGTAACATATATCCTAATCATCTCAATCAATGTAACTTCATAGCCTCATCTATTGATTTCCTCTCTTTACCTAGCACTCGACAAAAGCCTAACCTCAATATTGCTCACCCTACTATACCGTTTCACACGGGAGATAGAACGCAGGCACCTATGATCAAATTAAAAAAGGAGAAGTATACCATCTAATTAAAGGAGTGTGAACTACTAACAAAAGAAATATATGCGCATATCTGAATCAAAGGAAAATAAAAGATAAATGCATTTAGGCTACTGTCATATCATATTCCTTTGCGTTCCGAGTGCAGCATAGGGCTTCAAGCCTGGGTTATGAAGTTTCGGTGGCAGTGGTTTTATTTTTACGGAGTGGGGTTGCTAGTCTCACGCCCGACCATCCTTCTTAACCGGGCTTACTATATAGGCTACGCGAGGTAAAGGAATGCGTCGGCTGAGGATCGAGCTCCGGACCACGTGAAGTGTGGTTGCCGAGCATTCTACTGCTGCACCACTGACGCACAACCACATCGCTTAAGCTTTCTAACTTGCTTCCCCACAACTAGTGTTTCAACTGAACTAATTAAATTATCACGATCAATATATCTAATAACCAAAGTTTGTAGGGTTGATTGGGTTTTAGAGGAAGGTTCATTCAATTCAAAAACTGAGATTGTTTTTGTAGCTGCTAATATTTTTTTTTCGATGAATACCGAGTGTGATACCCCTTTCTTAAACCATATTGTGATGTTTCTTTTACTCTTTTCCTAATAGATATCCAGCAAAAGCTTTTGTTGGTGATACATTCTGTTACTTTGCTGGAATGACGTTTGCTGTTGTGGGTATTTTGGGACATTTCAGCAAAACATTGCTACTATTCTTTTTACCACAAATAATCAACTTTCTGTACAGCACTCCTCAGTTGTTTGGATTGATCCCTTGCCCACGACATCGATTACCTCGGTAAGTAAACTAGACTGAGTTCCTGAAGTAAATTGGTGAGCATATCCTCAAATCGGTATATGGCACTATCTGAGTCATGACTTTTACCTAAGTGATAGGTGAATTATGTCTCTTAATATATAGTCTCTGTTTTCAATCAATGTTTTATGTCGCTTGCATATATTTATCCCAATATATCCAGAGAAGCGTCGTCTTTTCGTTGTATCTGCCTAGTCACTGATGGATTTAGATCAGGTTGCAGTTAAGAGTAAGTCCTATCACTAACCACAACTGAGCACGCTCGATATTTGTTAAGGGCTTAAGTAACAGGTTGGGCATCCAGCCTGAGAGAAGTGTCATCTAAGGGATCAATGGTCACTACATATTAACACGTCAGATAATGGAAACCTTATCCTTCAATTATGCTCAAATCACAACCTCTTCCTAACGCTCGCCTATTCCCACCACAACAGTTCTAGTTGTGCTACCTGACATCTGCCTCTTTCCACTTAGGTCTGGACTTGAGTAGATTACACTGTCATCAACACGAGTGCATACATGACTAAAATTTCTTCTTAGACACTTGTCTGGATTCCTATCTTGATCTAATGTGTGGTAGGTTTCCTTTGCTGTTTTGTGGCGGTCATAAACGTTATTGTAGACAATTGGTGGATGGTGGCTAGCAGTGGAATCCAGGATGCGCATTTCGTCCTAATTGGGACTCGTCAGCTGGATGTACCTGCATTTCTCAGTGAGTGATGATGTTCCCACCGAGGCTCGAACCCAGTGCCCATAGTCAACCTGAGACCGAACACTTCGGTCCAATCAATCGACGGGAAAATCAAGAATTCAATTCAATAGTTATTGTAGACAGCTTAACGTCAGAGAATCGATTGTACCTTCTAATGCTAAACTCAAGGTAGCTGTTGACTCTCCAGAGAGTGTACAAAAGCTCAAGCAGGTATAAAAGCAGTAAATAAAACTGCTTACAGCTGACAGGAACTCTTCACTAAGAAAAACACCGTGTCTCTGCTAATCCCTCTCAGCCTCTTAATACCCATGGGTTTATTCTAACAGAAGATGAGTGCATTAGTCTGCTTAGAACTCCCATTGTGGGTGAAATTTTGTTTTTGATAAAGTCTCACAGTGTTATGCAGTAATGTTTACTGATGACGTTTCGAGCACAATTTATTGCTCATAATCATATCAAGGTACCCACACAACTTTCTAACTTCATTTATATAATTTTATTATTATTCATCGCTTGATTTGATTGGTAGTAGTATTCTCCGTATTTCCGGTATGAGTGATGAGTCATTCTTATTGCATGTGTTGGGTGTAGACTGGATGAACAAAGATTCAGTACTTAGAACTCTTACATATAAAGTCAAACAGTACTGATTATTTAAGGATCGCGAACTCTGGTGTTCAGGATGTATAATTTCAGATAAGAACAGCTCCCGCACTTTCCTGTAGCTGGAAGCCATTTCATTTCATCCTAGCCATAGTCAGAAGCGAAAGTTTTCTCTTCGAGACGGTCTATGAGGCAGATGTGACGCCTATCAACAACCTACAATGGCGCCTGGAACACTGAATAGGTCACTCTGAGAAACAGTTTAAATGGCCTACAGTGTCAATAACATATGTATACATATCACAAGATAGGAAGCATGTAGACATTCTGTAGATAACAATCTTAATCCTAAGTGTCTGAAGTACATCTTAGATTAGAAAAAATGCGTATATTCCAAAGTACATTCTTGGTGATAACTATATTGAAAAGAAATACTTCGGCGCATATTAATTAACATTGAGTTTTATGTCTTGTTAATAAAGCTTTTCAGCGCTTCAGATTTGTTTCATTAAAACACTATTTATGGCAATGTATGTGTGTGTGTGTGTGTGTTAACAAAAAGTAGAGCAATATAATTTTGCAACCTAAATATTTGATTCATTTGTGTGTTAATAATATATGTGTAAAACTTGGGCAGTGTGGTAGTAAGTAATTCCATATTTAAGATTTGATAGTGTGAAATATCCCCATATTATGAATTAAAAGTCAAAAATATTCATTCAGACATCTATAAAACACAAAATAATTGAGCAAAGAATATTGTTTTCGATAAATTCCTCTTCCGGCTCTACAATTATATATGTTTATATACAAAAAATATTCAAGATTAGTAGTTAATAATAATATTATTCATTATAATAGAGGTATTTTGTATTTCCCAATGGATGAAAAAACAAAACGAGATTGTTTTTACTGACGTTTCGCTATTTAATGCTAATAGCTTTCTCAAAGTATTATTAAAAATAATAATATTATTATTAAAAGTCAATCTGAACGAAGAATATTCTTTTCAATAATTTCTCCTCTTCAGGTTCTTACAGTTATAAAATATAATATTTGTGGTCGTTACAATAAAGGCCAGTTATGCGGTGGCGGATACATTTTTAACGTCGAATAACAGATTGGTTATGGGGTGTGAAAAGAAATAGTCGTATTTGTGTGACAAACTTGCTAGGCTGAAATCGATTAGAAAATATTTCTGTGAAATGGGAGACAATGGTGGTGATTAATCATAATAGATTTGTAGAGTGTGGGGTAGGAAAATTGACAAATCAGTTCAAGGTTATCGAAGGCGTCAGGTGAGTGGCTAGTAGTCTGTGGCTAGTGGTCTGTGTTAAGCAGGAGATAGTAAGACTGCAATGAGAGGTTCATGATGCAATAACGAATGTGTGAAATGAAACAGGTGGAGGCATATATTGAGAAAACAGATAATATCACCAATAATAAGTCCGTATAAATGAAAAATTTGATAGTATTGAGGGAATGTTTGCATAAGGGCATAAATTATGACGAATAATAATTATAATAACTGTAATAATATTTGTAATAAGCAAAGTAAAAAAAACCAAGAGAGTTAAGGGGAAGGAGCACTCTTGGGGAGAAGAAAAATCTTCAATCCAAGTTTGGCCACGGTAGGAACAGCGTCTGGACGTGTTCATTTTGGATACAAAGTTCCTGTTTAGTCGATCTTATTGCAACAGCTTCAGCTATGTGTAGGAGACGTAAGCGAACTGTATGTGATAACGACTTCGGAATTCGGTATATAACCCTAAAAGCTGTGTTGACATCGATGCGATGTCCAGTATCGACCAAGTGTGACAGGGTCGAGCTTTTTATGAACTTAATTTCCCCCTGCTGAACCAAGCTGGTAAGTGTTCTCGAACCCGTAGCACGAACCTAGCACGTTTATCACACAAATACGACTATTTATTTTCACACCCCATAACCAATCTGTTATTCGACGTTAAAAAAGTATCCGCCACCGCATAACTGGCCTTTATTGTAACGATCACAAATATTATATTTTATAACTGTAAGAACCTGAAGAGGAGAAATTATTGAAAAGAATATCCTTCGTTCAGATTGACTTTTAATTCCATATTAGTTAGTTTGTTTGATGTATCACACAATGAAACAGTATTATTTATTGGATAACAAGGTTTCGAATAAAATGTATTGTTCATAATTATATCAATTGTAATCACACGACTTTGAAACTTGAGTTTTATAGTTTTCTTTGTGTTCTCCTATTTGTCGTCGTTAGGGTAGTAGAATTTTCCAGATGTTCAATTGGACAGGTGTGTTGAATCATTCCTATTACATGTGTTTTCCTTCAGTTGATTGGATAAACAAAGCTTCTGTTATCAATCTCTCCCTCCACCCCGCTGTTACATTAGATTTTAAAGCTGTCATCCTATCCCATCCTATTGTATGTTTTGAAATCTAATGTCACAGGGTGGAGGGAGAGATTGATAACAGAAGCTTTGTTTATCGAATCAACTGAGAGAGAATACGTGTAATAGGAATGATTCAACAGCTGTCTAGTTGGACATCTGGAAAATTCTACCACCCCTATGACGACAAATAGGAGAGAACAAAGAAAACTATAAAACTGAATTTTCGAAGTCTTGTGATTATAATTGATGATATGATTATGAACAGAAATAAATTTTGTTCGAAACCTCGTCATCCAGTAAATAATACTGTTTCACTGTGTGATGGATACATCTAATAAACAAACTAATATGGAATCATTTGTGTACTGTCTGCTCATTCATTCATAATGTAGACGCTTATTTGAGTGATTTGCACATTATGTATTCCCGTTATCGCTTTTCTCTTTATTGTACCATTAAATCTTTTTTTTATAGTTATAATCCTACAGATGGTCTGCTACATCCTAGTCGTGTTCGTTTCCATCCCAAGTCTCTATCACGTGCTGGAGAGTTCGTTTTAACAGTGTTTTCGCGTGTTGGTATTATTGAGTGTAAACTTTGTTCAGACTGTGTACCAAATACACACGAATCAAACAGGACTGAAAAGAACACCGATACTGCTCCACAGACTCCTGAACATCAGTCTGCAGAAGGTGATCGAAAATTGGGAAATCGATCACCAAGAAGTAGCAGTCCAGTGCATATGAAGTCACCAACTGAAGAAATTGTTGAAGTAGATAATCTTACTGTCATAAACATGATGCTACGTGTTTTGGGACCTAAAAATGAACAACAGGCTACAAATAACCTTCTAATTTTACAGGTAAGATCTTTTTTTGTCTCATTCCTTTAAGCTTCTAATGGAACATATGGCTTCAAGCTGGAGGTTTGTACTTCCAGTAGCAGTGGTGTTTATTTTTACGGGATGGGGTTGCTAGCTGTCCCATGCCCAACCTCCCTCTTTACCAGTCTTATTATCGGCTCAGCGAGGTAAGGGAGTACGTTGGTCGGGAATTGATCCCCGGACCATGTGAGGCGTAGTTGGCGAGCATTCTACCACTGTTCCACCGACGCATACAGTTAAGATATTCATCTAATATTGTGACGAAGTTGTGTTATGATGTCGCCACTCTTATATTTTGTATAATAAAACAACGTTGAAGTTAGAATAGGGACGAATGCTGAGCTGGACGGAGACATGGTGGTCATGCAACGTCGTTAAGATACTCCATCGTCGTATCAAAAACAGCTACTTGTTTCCCTAACCCGCTCTACTTAAGCGAGAACACATACACAGAGAAGACAAGGCGGAAAAGTACCTGTCTCATTATCACCTACATTATAGTTATTAACGGAAACAATGTGGAAAAAGATAATCATTGTTTATCTGCTACATATCAAGTTGGTAGAGATTTAACTTATTTCAAGATGTAATTACCTGCAAACCGTTTTCAACCGAAAAACCACTGAACACTAGGCAGTTCTGAACAGCTGGCTGAACTTGACCCCCTTTATTCGTTGAAATCATTAAATCATCTCACAACTAAGGATATTAAACGCTTTACCACCCACCCATTCCATCTACCTCACAAAAGTGATAGTGCGATTGCGAACGTCTGACGCTTATAACCGGACTGTTTGATATGCTGGTCTACTCTAGGGGAACTGGAAAGCTCTGGCTGCAAACCAATGGCTGACATGGGCCCCGGAATACGAACGGATTGAATATCGTATGGACCTATTTTCATCACTAGAAACCACTGAAACATAGCTCCTGCTACCAGCTCACTATCTCATGGATCAAACTTCTAGTCGAAGACGCGGGGCGTGTTCCCTTAAAACAGCCACCATCTGTTCCGGTCCTGATATCTGGACAATATCCCAGTCGTTGCATAAACTATGAGGTTTCTTGTGGCGCACATGTCTCTTGGTGCCCACAATGTACCAGATTTGTGATTTAATAGGTAAATAAATGCTTCACTCAGTAACTTGATTGCAGACTGCACTTAATAAAATTTGTGCCCACTATGAAGTAAGTAGGATTGCATACTAATCACTTTCTGAAGGTGAATCGAAATAACACACCCTCCCGGACCTTTGACTTGATGAAGTGTGATCCACAAGGTAGTGAGTGGGTCGACATCAGGAGGTGCGTTCCTATGGTTTCCGTTGACCGAAACAAGTTCATATGCCACCATTCGATCCGCTAGAATTCCGGAGCCCATGTAGACGATTGATATGGGGGATTCAAGGTTTTCCAGTACTCCCTTATGTAGTAGACCAACATATCCACCAGTTTAGTTGTCAGCTGTAAACGTTCTCAATCACCCTTTCACTTCTGTGAGGAACACTCTTGCTGCGTAAAGACAGTCAAAAAGACTTACCTATCAGGTTTGTTTTAACCACTCTTACAATCATTATTTATAACGGTTACCACATCCTGCCCTTTTTTTACCTAAATCTTTTACTTAACATGCATGGAAAAGTGTAAAGTATGTGTGGACTGAAGAGAATATCAAGATCCCCAATAAGTTCTTTTGAAGTGACCCTTATTTTAGAATTGAATAGCTTTCGTATATATGTAACAGTTTATGGTGCACCAATCAGGATAATTTATTTTATTCAGATAGAAGACAATTATCAAGAACCATTGTGCACCTTGGATTTATCTTTTGTTTCTACAAAGTCGTCTCTGATGACTTAACTCAGTAACCATGGGAAGCTTCAGTCACTGAAGAATTAATCATGTTTGTAGCATAAGGGCTAACTGTTACCGTCTGCCTGGCTCTTAGGTTGAGTGGAATTTGAATATATGACTTCCTGATCGATAGTATAATGCTTAAGTTTGATTAAAGGTGTCTACATTCTATCTCCTATGTTACCTGGCACAATAGATAGAGTAATTTTGAGGTTAGGCGTCGAGTGTTGTTTGGTAAGGAGGGGAAGGCAATCAATGAGGTTGTGAATCTACATCGAATGAGATGGGGTTAGAACACATGTTAAACACGACAAGCCATCGCCTTCGTCGATGAGGAGTATTAGCTGATATGGGATCAACCAGGTTGTAAAGAGCTAGTGATGATTATAGCAAAACGTGGGGTCAGTCCATGAAATCTCTAACAATTAGTTTAAGTCAGTCACCTAGGGAGGTGTAGGCTGCTCGGTTGATTAGGGTCCTCATGATGGTAAGAACCGATGTCTCGAAATCGTTTTCACTAGTGTGCATTCACTCTGTAATCTGATGTATCTGGTAAATCCCACTGTTTTTTCATGTTACTATGCTTCCTCCTTCACCTCCTTTTTTCTAGTTTCATTTCCTCTCTGTCTTTCATCTTCCTGTGTGTAGTACGTTAAGTGTGACAAGTTGAACTGGTTCTATGTTTAAACTCAGTTAGTTAATCACCAATGCTTAATATCAGCTAGAGAACCATTGAAAACCAGGGATTGCTGGACAGCTGCTGTTTGATCCTAGTTCAGGAATCGTCAGCAGTACGCACTCACTCAGGTTCGAACCCAGGACTTTCCAGTTACAAGGCAAGCTCGTGTACCATTCGGCCACTGGGACCCGACTCAGTGGCTCATGAATTTTAACTTCTACCAATTTGCCATTTAGAGTGACCGCAACTAATGTCGGTGGGACATCCATCCTCACACGTGACATCTGGATGAACCTCACTGGTCACGATTTCTCACTGGAACTCCAGGAAACTCCATCCTGTCGCAAGTCACTAGCGAGCATCAGATTAATATTCTATAGTTTGGTTTGTAAGGGTTAGTTTCGTTTTTACGAGTTGATCACGGATTGATATCAGTGGGTGCGTACTGCCAATGATTCCCAAGCACTAGGATCAAACAGCAGCTGTCCAGTACTCCAGTGCTGGCTTTCAATAGTTCTCTAACTAATATCAATCCGTGATCAACTCGTAAGAACAAAACTAATCCTTACAAACCAAACTATAGAAAAGTAATGCTTAAGTTAAAAAATAGCTCTCAGATTCACTACAAATATAAAAAAACACTGTTGTACTCTCTTGCTAGCTTTTGTGATGACGTATAAAATAAATAGATTTCTCTAACTGCCCTTTTTCAGAAAAATAACTGCATATTCTTAATATGCACTTTTATGCACTTTCAAAAAATATACATCTGAACTGTTATAAGGCACTTAGCATGATATTTACTCACTTTTGATGTAATTTGCACTGATATTTTCGCTGTCAATCAAAATGCAATCATTATCATCATCATGTCAGAAATATTAAAACATTCAAATGTGAAAGAAAATATATATATAATTCCACATCTGATAATGGATGTGTTAATGTGACTGATTCTCATTCTATGCATTCTCCTAATTGTTGTCAGGTTCAAATGCTAATATTTTTTGATATGAAGTAAGCATTCAATACAATTAGTTACATGGCCTTGTAGCTGTGTTTCACTGAAATAAGTCCCTGAAGTATTCTATATAGAAGTCTGTTTCTTCGAATTACTATTATCCCCTTGGGTTCCTAGTGAAACATAGGGCTTCAACAACCCATCTCCACTTTGTTCTGTTTGGTGCTGTCCTCCTCATCTGGGTTCACGATTACCCTTAATCTCTCATCTCCTCCTCCTCCTCCATATCACCGGCTCATTGACGACCCAGCAATGGCCTGCATTGCTCGCGATATCATTCGACAGTCATCTCAACGTATTTCCAAGGCATCTCCATTTTCTCCTATATATTTGTTGAGCGGTCGTCTGTTGGTTGGTTTCTTACCAGAGTTTCTTGTTGCTAATTCTTTCTGGCCGTCCTGCCATTTGATGTTCAATATGCAGCCAACCAGCTAATGCAACTGTTGATTAGAGTTTGTAGCTCGTGACACGCTGCCAAAGTGTATGACCCGTATAGAAGAACTGACTGGCTTAACCATAGGTGTTGAAAATCCAGATCTTGTTCTTTTTGTGCTGGCTGATTGGAGTGCAGAAGATGTCCAGACTGGTTTCAAGTTGATGAAGGCGTATCTTGCCTTTCCGATTCTGGCTAGATTTGACATTTTAACCCGTTCTGCCTGTGGTTGAAACGATGCTTCTTAGATAAGTGAAGGAAGTAACCTCTTTCAGATCTCTCTCGTTGATGGGGATTGGTGCTGGTTGTTATTATTGTTGCTGTTGTTGTTGCTGTTCGTTGGCTGGTTATCTTCATCACCTCCATCTTGTCTGTGTTCACCTGGAGTCCTGTGTTCCCCGCTTGCCAGCTCTATGGACTGAAGTAGATGGAATGAGATTCGAACCCAGAAACTACTGACTGAAAGTCGCTTTCCTAAAACAATGAGGCACTTTTTTTTTCAAGTTTGACCACGGACTGTTATCAGTGAGTACTGGATAGCTGTACTGTCCTAGCTTGGGGTGCATCGATAGTACGTACTCACTACCATGGTTCGAGCCCTGGCCTTCCGGTTAAAAGGTGAGTTCGTAGGCCATTTAGCCAATGAGACCCGATGACTCAATGACCACCCCATGAATTCTAACCTCTACTAATTCATGATCTTAACGCGACTGGCATCAGCTAACAGTGTCATCGACGAGTATTTGTCCTCACTCCCAACCCGGTGGATCCCACTGATTGCGACTTTTTTTTAACCAGAACTACAGGCAACTTTGCTCTGAAGTCAGTCGCTAGTGGGATTCTCTAACCGATATGAGTCGGTGGTTGAACCTGAAACTAATCTAATCCCTACACAGCGAATCTTGGAGATCTCTATTTTCATTCAAGCACCTGCTGTATGTGACTAGAGAGGAGACTTATTCAGCACAAACAATCATATAGATTGATTACAGGATTTCATCATGAGCTGACATTAGTTAGAGAGCCATTGGAAAACCTGGGAACACTGCACAGCTGTTTCGTCCTAGTTTGGGACGAAACTAGTAGGATACAGCAGGTCGGGTGAGGACAAATACTCGCTGAAGACATTGGCTAGTGGTTGCGCTATCTCGTAACTTGGCGGAAGTTAGAATTGTTGGGCTAATCATTGGATCGGGTCCCAGTGGCTTAATGATCTACGAGCTCGCCTTGTAAACAGAAGGTCCTGGGTTCGAACCCCGGTGAGTGCCTACTGTTGAAGAGTCTCAAACTAGGGTGAAACAGGTGTCCAATACTCCGTGGTGGTTTTCCAATGGTTCTCTAACTAATGTCAGCTCATGATGAAATCCTGTAACCAATCAACCAAATCAGTACAAACCAATACTTGAAAATCATGTAGATATTTGTAATCTGTTCACCAATGATTTTATCGGTGACCCAATATTGAAAGGTATTCAATCGACTTATTATTTGTATACGTTATCAGAAAAATTATTGATTGAGAAATGAAATGTTTTGTTGAAAAACATACACAATTATAAACGTCTTAATCTCTACTTAGGCAGTTAGTTGCATGAACTTATATTTAACTAATATTTATCCACGTGCTTAGCCAAAAAGTACGTATATACATAATATAATATACTGATAAATGCAGTCACGCAATTGTTTCATTTGGTATTTTTAGATTAAAAGTCACTTATATTGCCTACAATGAGTTACTAACATCCTCAATTATAAGTGTTTGTGTGTGTGTATGTTGGTGGTGGTGGTGGTGACTAGAATGATTTTGACGATCATTCATTCATTCATTCATTTCATGTGATGAATCTGCAGTGTGTATGTTTTTTTCGGAATAAACAATATAAGTATTTTGAGTGAAAAAAAGAACGAAAACATTTGAATGAGACACAGAAGCGCATTTTATTTCGCGGTTTCTCTCCTCAACTGCGTACAGCCTGAACAAAATCCAATAATAAGTTACAAAATGCTGTTGAACATACTTTTTATGATGATTTCGAATTATAGATAGAAAGTATAAGCAAAATAAAATAAAAGATTAACTATTATTTCGTATAATTGGACAAGAGGGTGGGAGTGGGGTAAAGTTCAGGTTTCCCTTGGAAAAACTCAGTATGATTGATTCCCGTATCGCATTCACAATGGAACATGAACGTGACATACACTCAGATCTACTTCGTAGATCTTTATAGAAAGGAAACCTAAACTGATGGATACCTGAATTATCTCAGTTTTTTTGTCAATCGGCTAAAAACGCTCTTTAGCATAGCTAGACAGTTATGTTCAGAAGGTAAGATAAGTTATCGAAAAGATCCATAGTTACTTCGGTTCTAAGAAGCTATTGCTACCAAAAGACTGATCCCAACCTCTGTATACAGAAAGAAAGCGTGACTAATCTCGCACTACCCTAATTGGTAACCGTAATTGTTTTGTTCTGCTGCATAACATTCCACTTAATTATTATTTTCACCTACTCACTATTGAGTTTCCAAATTTACACAACGGTTTTGTCCATGTCATTATTATTGTTTCCTTTAGTTCCTAGAGTAATATGGGGATTCAGCTGCATGTCTCCATTGTGTTCGATTCTCTGCCAACCTTTTCACCTGGCTCCACGTGTACCCACGTACTTTCATCTCCTCTTCACATAACCTCATTCATGTCACTCTCGAACTGACGAACAACTCTCCGCTTCGCATTCAGGTTACACTAGGGAGAAACCCTGGCATGTGATGTCACTTGGTAGTTTTCTCAGAGTATGGCCAATCCACCTCTATTTCTTCCTGCATACTTGTTGAACAATCAGTTCCACCTGGGTTGGTTCGCTCCCTGTCGCTTGACTTTTCTGGCCGGCCATATGATCTTGAGTGGTATCGAGTGAAGACAGCTGTTGATGAGGGTCTATAGTTTCTTCGAAGTGTACTTCGTGACGCAGCGCCAAGTCTCTGATCTGTATAGTAAGTAGCACTGACTTCACATTGGCGTGGAAAATCCGGATCTTATTTCAATTTCACCCTGAGTGCTCTTGACCTCCCACTATGTCATAAAACTTTACTTTATTGCTCCACTCCCACTCTCTTGAATTCTACATCGTAATATGTACAAATTTACTCTTATTCTGCCATCTTGTATTTTATCTCTAGTCCGGTAAAGTTCAACAATAGCGTCCCAGGGGATGTGAACGCACAGGTGACCTTCGGCCGACCAATCATGAAAGAATGAGGAATTTCTGCACAAAAAATGACGTATATTTACAAGAAAATGCATGAAAACACATTATACAGGTTATCTTTTTCTGACATGACTTAAAAGTACGTCCAAGCTGTAATGAGGAGTTTCAGTTGCTAAGCTAGACTAGTTTCTGCACATGTATTCACCGAGGTGACTGAAGTTGATCTGTTTTTGTGAATCGTTCATCTCCCTTATCCTGTTTTGTAGTCTTCCCTAAAAGCTATCGGTTGAATTACTTGGGTTTCCAGTAAGAGGATCAACGGCTAATTACTGGGAAAATGTGGATATGAAAACAAATTAAAATAAATGACATCAACTATTAGTCTATCCCTAGTCGTAACCCTAACACTTATTCCTAACCCTAACACTAATGCATACCTTAATTCTAATACTAACGAGATACTAACACATTGTCTAAATGATACTTAAAATCGTGATCTGATGAAATTTTCTGCTCAGTTGATGAATAGCGTTTATATTTCACAGCTGTGATAATGACAGGTGCCGTCAGCCGACGACTTGCACGCATTCAAGGTCATTGAAGCTTTTGCACTCCTGCCGTACTATTGTTGAACTTCGCCTCCTGTCCATCCTTGCTTCCAAGCGAAATGTGAACTCAGACACCCCCACCCCACCTTGTATAATTACACTATAAACAGTTAATCTTTCAACACTGAATAATGTGTCTACTTATATCACTTTTTAGAATTATTTTGCTTATACCTTCTATCTACAACTCGAAGTCATTGTAAAATGTATGTTCAGACAGTATTTTGTAAGCTATAATTTGATTTGATTTAGGCTGTACGCAGTTGAAGAGAATCCATGAAATAAAATGCGCTTGTATTCTCCTTTAAATATGCTTGTTTTTTTCTCTATTCAAATTGAATAAAGGGAACCGATTGTATTGTCAAATAAAATATTGTTTTTCTTGTTTTTGCTTTTATAGATTCTGTGTTCCTGTTTAGCCTTCGCCATTCGTTATCCACTTGCTTGGTTCTTTTATGATGTACCAGCATCACCAGCAAATTGAGAAGATGAATCTACACAGCTTTTGTGCAGTGTGAGACAGCCGTATGATTGTCCCCCATTCTTTATTTTCTCTCCCATCAAGGCAATAGATACTTTCTGACGAAAACGAACACATGAGGTGTTGTGTTCATTGTAAGGAAAATTATTTAGAGCTAACTAGTATATATGTATGCATATAATCTACTGTTACTAATTTCATTATACTACTAACCAACCTCATCTACACACACACACACACTACTGCACTCATTGTGTACATCAGTTTCTTCGTGTACATCTGCTTTCTTTTCACATTTTGTTAATATATACATATGTATGATTTTGCAATGAGGCTTGAGCTTATTATCCCTCGTCACTCTTTAGAAAAAGAAAAAAAGTTGATTTATTTATCTTCTATCTTGTTGTATATTCCTGATTTTGTAGCGACGAGGAGACTATTGGTGGGATTTTTGTCTTTGTCGTTGACATACACACACACACATTGTCTGCACAACAACCTCTTCTGGTTCCCCTTTTTTGTTTTCCTTCTTCTTCCTGTTTTTTTGTATTTGCCTGCATATTTTCAAGGCGCATTCTCTGTGTTAAGCATTTTTGTGCGTGGTTGCTTCCTTTCTCCCTTCCGTGTGAGTGTGTGCGCGTCTTTGTTGTGTATGCCTTATGTATCGCCTAACTCACCTAAATGATGAGGGTGGCTGGGTGGGTTTTGGTTATTTCCTTCCCTCTGTCACAATATATATTGACTGTTTGACATTATTATTGTGTAGTACAATAGTAAACTTGTTATTCAAATATTCCCCAGAATGTTGTTATATATACAAACAGGCCGTTTTAAACATTTAAATTAGATGATTTAATAAATCAAATTCATGTTAGTCAACCTTTAAAATGAGTAGCTACTTGAATCAAAGATTTTCTCTTTGTGTGTGTGTGTATGTGTGTGTGTGCGAGTTTTATGTGTTTTCGGTAACATTATTCTTCAATGATTCTAGCATACTTTAAAAGAAAAACAAAATTCTGTTGGATGTTGCAGTAAGTAAAAATAAATACTTCAACGCCAAAAAATGTTAATTGTTAAATTATTTTTGATGAATATCTAGTGGAGTGGTGATTTAACTCATTTACAGCACTTAAGCATTTGGCTTTAAGCCAGTGTGTAAGTCGATGATTTGAGTTCTACTTAGGGTAGTACCATTAGACCTACATACAATATGTTTGACTGACAGCCTGGTACATGAGGAATACATCCATCCGGAGTTCACTAGTGGAAGATTTAGTTTTGAGTGAAGTGAATTTTTTTTATTCCTCCTTTACGTTCCTCGGTGGAACATATGGAGGCTTCAAACTAGAGGCTTTAAGTTTCGGTAGCAGTGGTGTTTATTTTTACGGGGGGTGGGGTTGCTAGCCGCCTCATGCCCAACCTTTCATCTTCATCAGTCTTATTACTGGCTCAGTGAGGTAAGGTAAAGTAGTGCGTCGGTCAGACATCGAACCCTGACATCTGATGTTCACTAGGGAGCTAGCAAAGGCTGTTGTTGATAAAATTCTGCAGCCGTCTGTACGAAATGCTTTTCGTGACTCTTCGGCCAAGTTTCTAAACCATAGAGAAGAACTGACTAATCTCATACTGGTGTTGAAAATCCGAATTTTGTTGTTTCCGATGAGTGTGAAATGTTTCCAAACTGATTTCAGAGTGATGAAGGTCTGTCTCGCCTTTCTGATTCTGACTAGTTTGGAAATCCTAATCCGTTACGTCTCCTATAGTTGAAGTGATGCTGCCTGGTCAGCTAAGTGAGGGAAGTGACCTCCTGGTGGGTATCTTCATTCACCTCTGTCTTATCTATGTTCCCTTGAAGTCCTGTCCTCTCTGACTGCTACTTCTGTCTACTTGTTGGTTTCCGCCTGTAAGTCTTCGAGATTGTGTGACATTAGACATAAATCATCCATGAATTCCTGATCTTCTAGAGTCTTCTTATCGATCTCGCGTTTTCCTGTCTTCTTGTTCCCCACATCAAGATGTTTCGTACAATCCAATAAACGACAATTAGCAGTGTCGGTGATAATAGTCAACATTGTCTTACTCCTCTCTGTAGTCACTTCAAAGGCTTCTCTGAGTTTTCCGTTGTAGATGACTTGACATGTGGCAGTCATACAGCTTATTGGTAGCATACTCGAATTCTCTATAAACATTATAGCAGAGGTATTTTGTCGTGATGGAAAGTAGCAGTAATTGACTACGTGGACATAGTAAAGCTACTTCCTTGTAAATGTAGTAGTGAAACCATATCATCGAATGATCAATTCATAGTAAAGGTAACCAGAACAGTTGAAAGAGACAATGAATAATACTTTAGTCAGAATTAAAATGGTGGATAGCGACTAGCAGTGGAATCCAGGACACGCAATTTCGTCCTATTTGGGATTCGTCGGCTGGACGTACCTGCATTCCCCAGTGAGTGATGATGTTCCCACCGAAGCTTGAGCCCAGTGCCCATAGTTTCAAACGCCAAAGCGTTATCCGCTAGACCAAAGTCCTAGGCTCAATAATAATGCGTAGACTAAGTGGTGCTCAGGAGGCACAAACACGAGAGAGCCAGGCAGGCTTTAGGCCAGGAAGAGGGTGTATTGATCATATCTTCACCCTCCGACAGATTCTAGAACATAGGAATTCCTACCGGCGCCCAACAATCACTATATTCCTTGACCTAAAGGCAGCATTCGACTCTGTCGACCGAGAGGTTCTCTGGAGATGCTTGGCTGTAAAGGGAATGAAGAGAAAATACATTGCACTCTACTTGTACTCATACAGCCAGGTGAGGGCTTACGGTGAATTGTCATCTGAACTGGTGACGACTAGTGGTGTCCGTCAAGGATGCCCATCATCCCCATTTCTATTCAACTTCATCATAGATGTACAAATGGACTTAACCCTAAGTGACTTCAGCGACTCAGGGATTGACTTGCTACCGGGGAATAATCTCGTTGACTTGGAATATGCAGACGATATAGTCCTTCTAGGCGAAGACGCTGACAAAATGCAGAGTCTTCTGAACACACTGAGCAGCAATCTACGAATGTTTGGCATGCGATTCGCTCACGCCAAATGCCAGATGATGTTACAAGACTGGACTGCAGCGACTCCTAGATTCGAAATAGGGAGTGAAGTGGTAGAGCACGTTGACCGCTTCACTTATTTGGGAAGTACCATCAGCCAATTCTAGGCAGAAAAAAGAGACAGGACAAACAGTGGCTCACTACGGACACTTGGAAACTAATAGAAGAGAGAAGGACAGTGAAGCAAAAGATTATCCAGTGCACTGACGAGCAACAAAAACAGGAGCTGAATGCAAGCTGCTCCGTCCTCCTCTATGGTTGTGAGACCTGGCCACTCAGAGTGGAAGACATGAAAAGATTAGTTGTCTTTGATCATAGGTGCCTGCGTTCTATCTCCCGTGTGAAGTGGCATAATAAGGTGAGCAATATTGAGGTTAGGCTTTTGTCGAGTTCGAGGTAAACAGGGGAAAACAATCGGCGAAGTCGTGAAGTTACATCGACTGATATGGTTAGGACATGTGTTACGTATGCCTAGTCATCGCCTCCCTCGACGAGCAATGTTAGCGGATACAGGGTCAGGCTGGAAAAGAGCTAGTGGAGGTCAAACAAAAACATAGCACCAGTCAATGAAATCTACAACAGTCAGTCTAAGCCATGTAGGAAGGTGTAGACTTCCTGGTTGGGGTCCTCGGGACGGTAAAAACAAATGGTTGGAAACAATTGGTGACATGGCTCAAAATCGTTCTCAATGGTCGGCGAAGAAGTATCCACTCCTTGTGACTTATGATTTCCAATTAAACTATGTTGTTCTTCGTTACTACTATTCCTTTGTCTCATACCTCTGTTTACTGTCTCTATTATGCCTTTCTTGTACTTTCTTCTCCTACTTTGTGTGCTACATGGAGTGTGGCGACTTGAACTGTCGCACATATGTGCAAAGTTCTATGTCGAAAACAGACAGACTTGGGCCACGAGATCCACCTCTTGTGCAACGGGTCATATTAATTATTTAGTTGAATTGTAGAATCCGGTCCAATCAATCGACGGGAAAATCTCAAATTCAATTAATATGACCCGTTGCACAAGAGGTGGCTCTCGCGGCCCAAGCGGTCTAGCGGATAACGCTTTGGCGTTTGAAACTATGGGCACTGGGTTCGATCCTCAGTGGGAACATCATCACTCACTAGGAAATGCAGGTACATCCAGCTGACCATGAGTCCCAGATAGGATGAAATGTGCATCCTGGATTCTATCAGTTAAATTCTAAGTGCCTAGACATCGTCGAAGCATCTGCACAAGAAGCCGACATGTCGACCTGAGACCGAGCACCTCGGTCCAATCAATCGATGGGAAAATCTAAAATTCAATTAAATAATACTTTAGTTAGTTTCCCAAAGTACTTTATTTACCCAATAACTTCTGTAACATTAACCTAAGCAATTGAATACACCTTTGGAAATGACACGACTAAGTAGCTTTGAATGAGGAAATGTAAAGGTTCCTCGTGAACTCGCTTCTGACTGCAATTTACTTATTAGTTTCCTGGAAAAGCTTCACAATTCTTAAAATCTCAATCACTACCGAATCACCTTTTGCTACGCAGTATGAAATCAGAAGGTACAACAGGGAGTTTGTATTGGTATTAATATCAATTTAATCGGGAAGTTAGTCATTTATTCAATAACAATACAAAAATATTAATGAAACTTAGTTTTAACGTTAAACATCCTACTACACCAACTGGGGTTGTTTCCCTAAGGCTACTTAGGGATGGTAAAATTACCATGTTATGCATGATATTCCGTTACTTGTTTAAACCGTGAATAAAACGGAAATCACCTTTAGACAATTATAAACTCAGCAGTTTAACTAATATAGTCGTTAAGATGGTATGTTCAACTGTCAGTTTATGATCGACTGGAGCGATGAATGAAAATCAGAGTGGCTTAGATGTAACCATAATTATTTTGGTCACAGGATTTCACTATGAGCTCTCATTGGTTAGAGGACCATTGAAAAACCTACCGGGACTATTGGACAGCCGTTTCGTTCTAGTTTAGGACCCTTCCTTTTACAGGAAACTGACATGGATCAGACAACTTGCTGACTTTCAGAGTTGGGCAAGCCTACATACAAAACAAAACCTGATCCGTTCACTGAGGCAGAGAATCCGCAAAATTTGCAGCCCTGAAATTATGGAAGAGGAGCCGAACACTCTGTAGAGACTCCTCTTGGAAAATGGCTAGCCAGAACGTTTATTCACAAAATCTATGAAACATAAATCACTCGAACCGCCCACACTTACCGCTTGCAAAAAACTGCTCTACTTGAATCTGCAACTCGAAGGTGACTATTGGACAGAAATATGGAGAAACGGCATGTCTCGCTCACTGAAGAAAACCTTCTTCGCGGATAAACTTATACTAACCTTCTCCATGAAACCAGTGATTCATGTGAACGTGAGGGATAAAGCTAACACTTCTGACCTCATCAATGTGCATCCATCAATTCACCTGTGGAGCTAAGAATGTCTTCAGTACACATCTTTTGATATCCAAATATATCATCGAACACTTACTCTCATGGAATTACAAAGGAGAAGAAAGATCTTCCCACAGCTGCATCATGGAACACGTGATTGAATCAGGACACCAGTCAAACCCACAAATTGACTTCAAAGTCATCTACAGAATACGTAGGGATCTTGCTATGATTCACACTTCTTCAAACTGAAGAAGCAATGGTGATTTACATCTTGACTTCTGAACTCTGCATACAGAATAAATCTGTTCAGTCATTAAGTCTGTCGTGGACACAACTTACCTTAACATCAAAATATGTATTTGTTTGTTTGGTCTTTTTCTGGCTTGTTTGTTTCTTGATTGTATAATGTTTTCTCCCCCCACCCCTTAATAAGTCTCTACCCCTTATTGCCAATGATGTTAACTTGACTTGAAATTTCAGTTGAGTTATACTCAACCCCGTCAATTAGATTACGTCACTCAACTTGCTTATTTAATG